TTAATACTTGTGATTTGGTGTCAATAAGTACAATTTTGTTTTCATATGACTAAATTAATTTTGTCATTCTCCGACAGAAAACTTGTCAAATAATTAATTTAGTCGTCTGACAAACTAATAATGTAAACGCGACTGCCGCTAATACAATTAGGATGTTTATTTAAATCAGATCATAACTTTTAATTAAGTCAAACAAGTTCAGCAGCTACACTAAATTAATCAACCTACTTTTGAAAATGTCTATGTCTAGATTAAATTCTTATAATGAGCCTTCATTATAAGCTAATTAGCTTGAAATATTTTAATGAAGTGTCCATTACCTTCGATATAATGCTGTCATGTTAAATATTTGAAATTAATTGTAAAGGATGGAATAAATAAATAATTGTTAGTACGTTAGTAAGGTGAGTTATTTATCTAAGTCTAAATTAATAATTCTAATTGCTTGGTGTGTACATTGGTTGAGTTAGAGTAGGGGAAGGGAGGTAATGTAAAAAAATACTGAGAAATAAAATAAAACTCTATAGACTTATTAAAAAGCAATTAAAAACAAATGAGTAACTCCAATGACAAGGCAATGGCTCATACATTAGGCACATTTAAATATCATATTTAAAGACTCGTTAATTTATCTTCTAATTAAAAAAAAATATTCTAAGTATTTAAAAAAATACTGCTAATAGAAATTAAAGATTGGGAAAAATAATAATTGAGGTCCGTCCAAAAAAATCAATCCTCATTAGTGTAGTCAATTGCAAAATCTTAATATTACGAGCAATATATGTTTTCATATAATTATAATGAAGTATAGAAAACGTATGGCTTGTAAAATATCCAACCTCTTACCATGTATGTATCAACTAGAGCAGTGGCGTAGCGAGGTCGGGTGTCACCCGGTACGGCACTTAATGGTGTCACCCCCAGAGGCGTAGCGACTCTTCCCGGGGACAAACTTTGAATTTTCGATTTGCAAACCCCCTATTTAACACTCGAAATATTCACTTAATTAAGTGGAATTATCATTTTTCTCTATATATTTTGCTATTTTTTTTCACTGGTGTCACCCCCCTAAATGGTGTCACCCGTATCCCCCCCCTTGCTACGCCACTGAACTAGAGTGTTTTTAAAAATTGCATTTTGTAAAATAGTCAAACAAAATATTTAATTCTATTCGAAAATGTAGCATTTTTAAAAAACTCAGTGTCACATTTTTTATGTTAGTTAGTGTTGTTCAAAAATAAATTTTAGCAGTTGTTTTAATATCTCAAGATTTTTGTTATATTTTCATATATATATATATATATATATATATATATATATATATATATATATATATATATATATATATATATATATATATGTGTGTGTGGGGGGGTGTCTTTCATGTAATGGGGGCTAAGAAAAGGGTATAAACATCAAATAAAAGCGTGACAACATTTATGAACATCCCCCACCTACTAAAATATGTACACCCACAAAATACACTCAGTTACGTAAAAATATTTTCTACAGTGAATGCACTCTTAGAAAAAGGTAGACGTAGTTTGCCCTAATACATGAGTTACACTTTCTGTAATATATTATTATAGGGAAGGCGTGGCATGGCGGTAGAGAGCTAGACTGCCAACCCGAAAGTCTCAAATTCGAATCCGGGGGCGACATACCTGTCAGGGCCTTTGTACATCTGTTGTTATATTTCAAAAATGTATAATACACTTTACCTACCAAAATATACCGTGTAATTACATTAATATATAATTACATCGTTACACTGTAGAAGAAAAAAAATTACACTGTACTCTATAATTACATAGTTTATTTTATGATATATTTTGATACGACAAGTGGGGCATTTTGTTAGCAAAATAGACACTAGCTTAATACAAAATATCCTTATTTATATATACTTACAGTCGTTGTTTATTTGTGCATTGCTTGTTTGTATATCCTGCTCACACTAAGTATTCAACGAAGAGTCCACGATAGCCTACATCCTGTCCAGGAAATGACAATCACACACAAACAAACCCTAGTGAAAACAACAAGGTATCAGCATTCACTGATAGAAAAAAAAATTACTTTTCAAATGAACAACCATCCAATTTAATCTTGTGTTACTCCATGGCATTGGGCGACACCAGACAACAATACGTGTAGTTTTAACGAAGTGGTTAGCGCGGGGAGATCCATTAACGGGACCAGCGCAAAATTGATGACGAAGCACACGTTCAAGGAGACATGACACAGGATGAGTAGTGGACGTAGACTGTGTCGGATACGGTATGACAGGTTGAGTACAAAACCTGTCAGGATGTCATTGACAGTGTCATGTCAGCTTATCTTGTCCATATGCTAGGTGTGTGTGTGTGTGTGTTTTGTCTTTCATCGCCCGCACGTCGTTGTGTAAATTGCTTGTTAATGACCCCCCACCCCACCCCGCCTGTTTCTAGCCCACCCCTTCCCTACAGCGACACGTCTCTCTCCGTTACTGATATACGGACAGCAGATGCCCTACATCTTTAATGATTCCAGTGGATTGGCTGGGAAATGGTACGATTAGACGATAAGAGGTTTTGGCTATTGGCTTAACTTAATCCACACACATCCACACACACACACACACATATATATATATATATATATATATATATATATATATATATATATATATATATATATATATATATATATATATATATATATATATATATATATATATATATATATATATATATATATATAACTTACCATAGCGCTTGAATCTGATGGTAGAAACATTGCGACGTATTGCTTTCTACTTGGAAATAAAATATCCCAAACACCTTTTGCTGTTATCACATGAAGACAGTGAAACCTTCTATGAAATAGACCCGTCTTATCACGTGATGACCGTGATACCTACCCTGAAATAGACCCTCTACTCCACCTTTGTCGAGATCGGCTATCTGGCTTGATCCTCCAACTCACCACGAGTTTTTATCCGACCGTCTAGTGACGTCACGCGACTTTGGAAGACAGCCCGTCTGACACATTAAATAGACAAATCGCTCATCCGATAATCGCGAGGTACTGACCTAATTTTGTGCCGCGCCAAAGGTAAACTTCAAGCCTTAATCTCCCTGTTATTTCTTCTGTCTGCGCTAATTTCTCTTCTAATAATGCCATGTCAAACCGGGGTTGGTGCGTCCGTGAAGATATTTTTTTCCTGGCAGCGGAAGTTTCTAGAAAACATTATCAGGATGCATAAGAGATTTATCTAGATCTCACTTGTTCGTAGACAATAATTTTAAGCTTATGGTTGCTAAACCGAAAAGTCGCGAGATCGAATCAGCAATCCATCTAAGAGACAACTCCAAAATTAAACAATTGCTGCCTTGTAGTTTGTTCTTGGTGAACAAATGCTATAAAAGCAAAACCAAAAAGAAAAGCTGGCTGAAATCGGAGTCAAGGGCCTACATGTCGCATACTTGGTTGTGTTGGAGGAAATTTATTCTAATATAGAACGAAGAAGAAAAAGAAACACTATATATATATATATATATATATATATATATATATATATATATATATATATATATATATATATATATATATATATATATACACACACTATTATCGTAAAACCTTAGAGTAATAGTTTCCGCTAGCTAATTTGCATCCTCCGGCCGGTCATTGTCCATTGGGGTCCCCGTGTAGCTGGACATAGCCTAGCTGGCATATCCTAACTGATGCCACATCACCCAGTGGGTGCTTGTCCGGTTGGACATTGCCCAGTTGGCCATCGCCCATTAACCCTAGCTGTGTGGCAAGAAAGTCTTATCAGGAAATATAAAACTTAGAGCAAATTTAATGACGTTTTTTGTTTACTGCTTCAATATATCAAAGTACACGACATTTTGTTTCGTGTCTTGTTATTTAGTCTACACCACACTGATGAGATATAATTTCCCTTGAGTGAAATCTAATTCCCTTTACTGTAAAACAAATCTGGAATTTGATTTCTCTTGTGTGAAACCGAATTCCTTTTCGGTTAAAACACAAATAAATTAAATTTTTCAAAAGTCCAAATTTAGCGCTAAAACTAATTAACTTCATGCACAATTAATTAACTTTCCTCCAGAACAACAGCAGTAACAAAAGGACTCTCATCAAATATCTTGCAGGTAATTATAAAGGGAAAAACATAGAAATACGGTTCTTTTAAAGAGCAGCGAATACAATATTTTCATGAGATATGAGTTCGATCCCACCCCGCACCGAGAACAACAAATGAATGCCTGAAAGATTGCTTAATTTGTTTTATGATGTCGTTTTATTAACCGAATCTAAAATAATTAACATAATTGCATTAAATATTTAAAGGTCATCTTGTACACACAAGGCTCATTAGCTATTTTCTAATTGAGAATTCCCGTCCTTCTTCAACCAATGGACGCAGAAAATTCTAGAATCGTCGTTTCCGCTGTTTTTATTTTGTTATAATTAAATATGACTTGAGATTTCGCAATGCTTCTTTATATAACAGGATAACAGATTCTTGCTATCAAAATAGCTCATTGAAATATTAAATTTAACTAAAATTTCACAACAAATTTTTGGCTAAAAAGTTTTAAAATATTAATTTTGAAAATGTATATACTTTTATTGATTTTTAAAATATTTTAAAATAACATTTTATAATTATAATTATTCTGTCCGGCTATTAGTAGAAGACTTTAAAAGTATTTTAAAAAATCCAACTTAATTTTGAATGAAGGTTAAATATTTGAAACATTTTAAATGAACTTTTTAGTTGGTGATGAATGTACTAAAGTGAAGAGAGCGACTACAATTTCTATTTTCTTTTTAATATCTAAAATGGCTTTAAATTAGTTTTTAAAAAAAAATGATGTATGCCTTAGTATTATAATTTTTTACTACATTTAGTAATATATTTCAAACGAATTGGCAAAGTGATTTTCGCTGATGGTATCGCTGCTAATGTTATGTCTGTTGATGGTATGGCTGCTGTTGATATGGCTGCAGATGGTATGGCTGCTGTTGATATGGCTGCAGATGATACAGCTGCTGATGGTATATATCTGATGATGGTATGATGCTACTTGTGGTATGTCTGCTGTTGATGGTATGGCTACTGATGGTATAGTTGCCGATGGTGTAGTTGTTGTTAATATATCTGCTTGTTGTATGGCTGCTTATGGTATGGTTTCTGATGGTATAATTGCCGATAGTGTAGTTGCTGATGGGTCTGTTGATGGTATGGCTACTGATGGTATTGCTGATGGTATAGCTGTTGATGGCATGGTTGCGTTTGTTGGTTTGGTTGAGCATGGTATGACTACTGAAAATAGATGTGTAGACGTTATTTGTTTGGCTGCTGCTCATGTAATTGCTGATGATGTGGTTGCTGTTTATAGTATTCGCCGCTGATGGTATGGATGTTGATGGTATGGCTGTTGATGGTATGGATGTTGATGTTATGTCTGTTGATGGTATGGATGTTGATGGTATGGCTGTTGATGGTATGGCTGTTGATGGTATGTCTGTTGATGTTATGGCTGCTGTTGATATGGCTGCAGATGGTACAGCTGCTATTGGTATAGCTCATGATATATCTGATGATGGTATGATGCTGCTTGTGGTATGTCTGCTGTTGATGGTATGGCTACTGATGGTATGGTTGCTGATGGTAAAGTTGTTGACAATATATCTGCTTGTTGTATGGATGTTGATGGTATGGCTGCGTATGATATGGTTTCTGATGGTATAGTTGCCAATGGTATAGTTGCTGATAGGTCTGTTGATGGTATGGCTGTTGATGGTATAGCTGCTGATGGCATGGCTGCGTTTGTTGGTTTGGTTGATGATGGAATGTCTGTTGATGGTATGGATGTTGATGGTATGTCTGTTAATGGTATGGCTACTAATGGTATAGCTGCTGATGGTATGGCTGTTGATGGTATAGCTGCTGATGGCATGGCTGCGTTTGTTGGTTTGGTTGTTGATGGTATGACTGCTGAAAATAGATGTGTAGATGTTATTGGTTTGGCTGCTGCTGATGTAATTAATGATGATGTGGTTGCTGTTGATAGTTTTCGCTGCTGATGGTATAGCCGCTGATGGTATGCCAGCGATTGCTACTAAAAAACAAACAACTAATATGATCGTTATTAAGGACGCTCTTGCCGCTGGTAACTCGCCTCCCACGTAAAAACTGGTAATTAAAATGGTAAGTAAAATTGTAATTACAATACCGGCTAAATGATAATTAAAATGATATTTAAAGTAGCAATTAAAATGGTCATTAAAATAATACATCCATTACATTGTTTCAGAATAAATTTGTCATTTTAAAACTGAAACTATAGAACTTCATTCTGAAATGGAAAAATATAAAAACGTGATTATGTGATATACGGTTTCTACCTAATCCTTCAATATTTGTCGTTTTTGTGTGTCACGAATGTTTAGAAACCTACGTCACATTGTAATCAACTACTCTCTATGACGAACCACACAAAAACTACATTTTGCGTCATTGTAATGTGCATATCGAGAACTCATTACCAAATAATTTCACCGGACTCGACATGGATTTTTTTAGAAAATTGTCGTTCGTTTTTGCCATTATTGTTTTTACTTCACCATTTTATGATATCTAATTAATTTATATTCGTTTTATTAATTGAGTTCGTTTTTAAATTTTATAAACGCGCATGCTAAAATCGACAGGTAATTGCTAAATTTTGAATTTCTTGAATGGAAAAAAAATGAATTACACATAATAAAAAAAAATAAATAGAAAAAAAATAACGAAATTGTAACGCTTTTTGAAAAATTAATTCTGAATTAAAAAATCCCGCTTTTTTGTACGTGTGTAATTATTTCTTCTCGTGAAAGACATAATGCTGTATAAAAGAAAAAAAATGGATCCAAATTTGAAGTAAAATGAGCTGATTATATAAAAACAACAACTATTACATAATTGTATTAAAAATATTTATAAAAACTATTGGATTATATCACATAGACCAATTAAAAAAAGAGAATGTGCTATTTATGCACTGAGAAATTCATTTCAAAATCTATGCTAATAAAAGCCTAAATATAACATACCTTATATAGGAGTTAACGCCTTGCAGTTCTTTTGAATCATATTTTGCAGGATATTAAATATACGCAGTAGCCAACGATTCATCATCGTCTTTTCCCGTTCTTGTTCTAGACAAAGGGCAGACGAAGTAGAGTTCAACTGTTTCAATGACCATGGAGTCTGGAGGGATAGTGTGCTTAGCACTACGAGTAACCACTTCGTTTCATTAACGTGTGAATCAGGTACTCATCAGAGCTGGGTTTGCTCAGGGACATTCTGAAGTCGGTGTCCTGAACTAAGATCCGAACTCCGAACCTTCGGGCTAGCAGTCAAACGCTCTACAATTCGACCACACGTAACCAATATTTAGTACTCATAAATGAAAGAATTTCAGTTTTTTTTGCGACAATGATACTAAAATACAATAATTACCTTTACTTAAAATTCTCAATTCCCATTTTCTAACTGTATTCGACATTTGACAAGATAGTAATGTGATCGAAAAACATCTCATTTTTTCTTTATAATCGTTAATGGCACTGAACTAAAAATGTGTCAATAGTTATTAAAAAATAAATTCTGAATATAGGCCTAACTATTCTAGCCTATAGCCTAACTGGTCGATAATATTTTCCGAGCCGTGACGTCATTTCCTGTGATAATCAGACCAGGTCAGGCTTTTCAATTGCAATCATCCTTTTCTGGAGCGGAAATCGGTTTTTAATCAGCGCGTACGGGATCAATGAACTGGACATCAGGACTGGCAGTAAATTAAAATGTGCTAAAATCTAATTAGTTGGTTTAATAACGGCGCTCGAGGGCAGTGAAAGGGTTGTATAAGGGTCAGGGTTAAGGTCAGGATTAGGGTCAGGATTGGGGTCAGTATTAGGGTCAGTATTTGGGTAAGTATTAAGGTCAAGATTAGGGTCAGGATTAGGGTCAGGATTGGGATTAGGATCGGTCAGGATTAGGGTCAAGATTAGGGTCAAGATTAGGGTCAAGATTAAGGTCAGGATTAGAGTCAGGATCAGGGTCAGGATTAGGGCTAGGATTAAAGTTAGAATTAGGGTCAGGAGTTGGGTCAGGATTATGGCCAAGGTAAGGGTCAGGATTATAGTCATGATAATGGTCAAGTCAAGGCTAGGAGTAGAACGGATAGGGCAATACTTTGGACTAGGTTAGAGTTTAAATTAGAGTTAGAACTGCGTTGGAGTTATTCCTATTATTGACATGAGGAAGCGTGTATTGGCCTCGAGAGATGATGTTAAGACTGCATTAGAGATTTTAAAAGCAACAGTTTCCCACGTAACGCAACCAACCAGATTACTTCTGTAACATTACGCAGAAATGCCGCACGAAAATAGTTCCTAAAATTAATTTACCAACCTCGCCGTTGTAGCAAAAAATTATTCCGATAAAGAGTAATGCCATGTATTAAAGATCTTATTGGGTCATTGGAATAACGTTGTTTTCTTTTAAATGTGGGTCACACGGAATTAATAGATTGTCGTCCTTGTGGGGAGGTCACAAGAGTTGAAGGACGTGTTGACAAAAATACATTTCATTAATAGTTAACAAGACAAAACTCTAGATTTAAAGTAGATCTATACACGAGACGACGTTGAATGTACACATGTCGTGTATAAAACCTCTTGGGGCTTTAGAAAGAGATTATTTCCTTGTAAATTTGTGTCTAAAAGAATTAACAAGTTGGCGCCCTTGTATGAGGTCGCAAGAGTTAGCGGACGTGCGGGCTAGAAAAAATTTGATGAATAGTAAATTGTGAAAACAACTCTGGATAAAAACTATGCTGTGGAGTTAGGTACCTGTTCCAGATATATATATATATATATATATATATATATATATATATATATATATATATATATATATATATATATATATATATATGTATATATATATATATATATCAGGCCAATTGCAAAACCTGCTAAGTCCACTTATTTTTTTAAAGTTACTCTTAAGTGGCAATTAAAGTAGTAAACTAATTTTTGTTCTAAAAACATATATATTTAAATAAATTAGGTAACAGTAAAATATCGAAAATCCTAAGAATAGTTAACAGTTTCCTCAAAATCAATCAGAAGTGACTGAGCAGAATTTGCAAGTGGATTCCCTGTTAGATTATTTAGTTTAGTATTGTAATGAAGAAAATAAAAATGACATAAAAGTAAATTTAAATGGATGCATCCGTGAATAGTCTCGAATGTTTTCGAAAGGCGTATAAAATATGCTAAAAATTGTGTGGGATGTTATAGAAATAAATCGTGTTATAAAAATTTTACTATGAATTTTCGGTGGGTCTTTACTTAAGATTAGAGGTATTTTTTTTATTTTAGTATTTTCGCCAAAACAATTTGGTTGTTTTCATTGTATCAGAGAAAATCTAAATAGAAATATTAGTATTAGAACTAGGTCAAGTGCTATAAAAAAAAGAATAATTCAATTTAAAAATTGTATCAGCAAAGTTTTGAGTAGAAATTATATCGAAGTGAGATTTTCTGAAGATCGATCACAGAGTTTCTTTACAGCCAATCAATGTTTGTCTTTCGAAAGTGAAGCTTCACTTTATTACTTAGGTTTGATGAAAATAAATAGAAATGTAGCCTTAAACTAAAAAAAATATTTTCATGTTCTCTGGATTTGTAATTTTTATAACTTTGATTTAAAAAAAAAATCTGAATTATTTTCAGGCTTAAGTTTTTTTTTTAAATTAATTTTTTAATGGCAAAAATCTAAAAATAATAGTTGTTATTTATTCATGTCAACAACAATGATCGAACCCAACTCATCAAACCAGGCCGCCTCCATAAATCAATAGCGAAACAATTCGGTTTCTTTTGACGTACAAAGTTCAATTTTTTGGTTTTCCCTGTTTAGTTTATAAAAAAAAAAAGAAAAGCCTCAGAAATTTGACAATGGATTGCAGAAGGAATTTTCAGCTGACAAAGTGGGTAGAATGGGATCCTTCAATCATATTATGGGATATGGTATAGACTTGGGTACTTTAGTACTATTCCAGGATGTGGGATAGACTTGAATCTTTAATCCAATTGCGAGATGTGTGATAGACTTGAATGGTAAACATTTATAAGACGACGAACAGATAACATTTAACATAACTGTCAAATATTAAAATTTCCATCGAAACAAAACTGACGTCTATATAATTTTTTAAGCAACGTTGATAAAACAGACTATGGACTCTTTAAAAATTAAGCCTCTATTTTAAAAAAGGAATACAATATAAGTAAAATAGTATGTAATAGATAACAATAATTAATACTATTTGAATTATAATTTTTAAACTCTTATTACACTTTCTCCCATGTGCTTAGTATGTTGAAACCGACGAGCAAAAGTTAGACCACTTATTTCGGACCGATTTTCTTTAAAATTAACTCGAGGGTCATAAAATTTGGCTTAATTGGATGTTTAATTAATGTTTAGAGAACTAATTACTGTTTGATATTTTTAATACTTTTAGCGCTATTTTACGCGCATTGTTTGTGCTCATTTTCTTTTTAGTAAGTTAAAAATTTAAGTATTACGAGTCAATGCGCTATGTAGGCCGTTGACTTCGATTTCAGCCTCTTTTTTTTTCTGGATTTTCTTTCATAGAATTTTTCCTACGAAGAATAAACTACATGGCAGCAGCCTCGTATGCCCGGGGATTTGAACTCGGGACTTTTCGGTTCAGCAGCCATGAGCGTTACAGACCCTACCTCGCCGACCCTTATTTTCTAAACAAATTATACATTTTCGTGAAGGGGGTTTGACGTGCTCCAGAAGAGGTTCCGCTTGATGGACGTGAACAAAAACAATCTTGCTAATGGACTAAAGTCCATAGAGATAGCTCTAGCTGCAATACTTTCCTTCAACTGTTCCTCCAAATAAAAATGCGTTATACTAGTGTAATTTGTAATAATTATTTAAATTGGAATTAGGTTTAACCCTTTTGTTACCATCTTCCTTTAGAGCCAAACATTAG